TTTTCAATTGTTCATTAGGTTCACACATTGTTCATTAGGTTCACACACATATTTCAATCTTATCTCGATGTCGTCGCCTGGTAATCCTTCCAAATCCTCCATTGTTTTGATGAAGATTATGAACCTAATTTTTAGCTACTGATTTAAGATATTGATCGATGAGATTGACGATTCCCTTATTGATTGCAAGTTACAGAATAGGCTGACAAAATAGGATACATTAAGATCATTCACTTTTTACAATTCTACCATCTGAACCATTGTGAACATAATTTTTTATTAATATGATAATTAAATAATTAAATTTTTAGTCTCAATAAATGACAACCGTTGGATGTTCAAATCAACGACCAAGATCGGTTAACAAAGTTAACACGATAATCTTGGTTAATATTTGAACCAGCTCCTATATATATATATATATATATATATATATATATATATATATATATATATATATGAACACATGCTTTTTTTTTAAATATAATTGGTTTTATAAAATATTTTTCAAATAATATCACATAAAACATTTAATAAGACATTTCATTTCAAAAGTATCGTAAGAATTTGTTAAGATGCTCAAAAATGTTTTAAAATTTATTGCAACGTTTTTATATATGATACATAATATTTAGGTTATATAAAACAATTCATTTAATATATTTCATTTAAATATTTTTGATGTCTTATAAACCCGATTTTATTATTGTAAATTAAGAGAATATGTTATGGCTCCGATATATTAAAAACAAACATATATTACAACTTTTATAATAAAAATACGATTTACAATCTTGAAATTAAACTTTTTTGTTCGAATAATATCATATTTTTATGCAATTGATGGAACAAAAAAAAAAAAAAATATATATATATATATATATATATACATTATATTATAAAGCATTTGATAAAACTATTAAAAACCATTTTTTACGCATGGAAAATACTGTTTATCGACGCATATTATTTAAAATTCAAGATTACAAATAAATTGTTCGTAAGTACAACTTATTAAAGCTGCATGTTTGAATTTATGTAAGTAACTGCAGATAAAAATAATTAAATACAAGATAAACGTTTCATTTTAAATATCAAAATTCTAAAATATAATTAAGATAACCATTGAGTTTTAACAGAATACTTAATGGTTATCCTTACAAAAAATATCATATAACTAAATCAAAAATAAATTAATTCGTTATTAAATCTAAATTAAATTATAATAAAAAAATTGCATTAAATAAATTACACAAAAAACAAGAACTTTCAAACAGTTAATTTGATAGCAATATTGATATATTTATTTTCGAAATTTTATGATCATATTTTCAAATTTATATTTTATTCAAAAAATAAAAACATTATCTATTTCTCAAAAACGATATAAAAATCAAGATATATCTCGTTGCATTGTACGAGTACCCTTCTAATATATATATATATATATATTATATTTGTGAACAAATATTATATAATAAATAAAAGATGTATTTGTCATTAGATATTAAAATCAAACATTTAAAAGTTTATTTAAAGAATGGAAACAAATAACTTTTATTCTGATACAATTTGTTTTAAGTAATTAAAAAATATTTTATTTCTTGTCGATTTTAAAGTTTATACAAAGTCAAACATCGACCGACTGCCTTTTTTAATACCAAAATAGCTAATGGTTTTTTTTTTCTTTTTTAAATTGGTTTTTAGATATTAATTGGGCGGCAGTTACTTGGGTTTTTCTTTTTAATCAGTTTTGAGGCAATTTTACATCACTAACTCCAAACCCTATATTTATTTCTCACGGGATTAATTTGTGGTCAAAAATTAGGTATAACTTGCAAATATATGTCATGTTCTAAAATAAGTGTTTACAATTATGGACGGACTCATAGAAGGGCATACGGTGGCACGTGCCATCGTATTATCTTGCTGTCGAAAAGTTAAAAATTTTACGTTTGTGAAAGGTGCTCCCGTATGTTATTCAAAAGTTGAAGAAGATGCAACCGTACCTCGTAATCAACCAAAAAACCGAAAAAAGTCCCTCGAAACAGTGAATTTAGGCTAAAAACACATCGAGCGATATTGAACGTTAGTAAAAACATGAAGACAAGTCGATAAAAACCGTGCTTTTGTAATTATTTTGTCTATATTATATGATGCCTCCGTATAAAAAAATTCCTGGGTCCATCCCTATTTACGATGAATAATATATATAGTCTTAAAGTTGTATAATTCATTTTTTCTAAAAATAGAAACTTATTTTAGATTAAATTATTGTTTATAACGAGTATTGCATTTAAATTAGTATTCAGAGAGTGTTACTTTTTAAAACTCCAGTTGTATTGTATAGTTGCCCAACAATTTTGTTGTCGGATCTTGTGAAAACAAATAGTAAAAACCAGTGATGGTTACTGAATTATGACGAATGTATAAAATATTAATAGTAAATAAATTAATGAAAGGTTAATCTGGTTTTGGTATCTTGATTTTGCGGGTTTTTCTATTAATACAAGTAAACAAATAAATCATGTCAATTTTTTAATGAAATTCAAGACTTTATTCCAATCTCTCTCTCTCTCTCTCTCTCTATATATATATATTAAAAGAAGA